CTTCTGAACCCCTTTGCTTCCTTAAGTCGGCACCAAGCTCACAAGCTTTTTTGTCTTAGAACCTGATCTATGCAGCACAGAGAAGAAACCAGTTCTCAGCACCATCACCGAGCTACTAGGATCTGGCAAAGCCTGAGCTCCATTTCCTGTGACTTCAACCAACTATTCCTATTGGTGCAAAATGCTTTTGTGTCGACATTGCAACCAGAGATCAAAATGTATACATTTATATAAGTTTTTAGGAATTACAAAAAAAGTAAATTCCATTATTTATATGCAATGTTTTATCAGTACTTTACTCTAGCCAGCAGCTAGACAGTCTGTAGCTGTATTTTGTTATAAATAATTTTGATGAAAACCTTTAAATATTAACTGATTAGTATATGGAGAGGTGTCAAACACAGAAAAACTAACCCCCTCAAAGCTGAAAATGTTTTGCATTCATTCCTCAAGATACTATTTTTTATATTATATAAGCTTTCTTCTGACTACAAAGAAAAAGCCACTTGACTAGTCAAATGGCTTTTTTAACAAAACTGTTGTGATCAATGCAATAACCTTGGTGAAATTGATGGGTTTAAGTTTCTTCTCCTCTGAATATGAGCCATTTTCTAATGACAAGGTTTCCCAAGTCATATTTTCAAAAATTGTTCAAACGCACACTCAGCCAATCTCTGCTTTATTTGTCATATTTGTTTGTAGTTTTTTTTTTTTTTTACTCTTAAGCAGAATCACACAGAACCAGTGGATTTTAACATTTATTTACAAAAAGCAACAAAAATCTGGAAGCGGAGAACTGCAGAAAGTCAGTTGAACTCTGGTTGATCTGAAGGGAGAAAGCAAACTGATCAGGAAGGAGTTGGTTGAAGACAACTGATGGCTGCTTAATTTGCTTACTTGAGAGATGAAGGGAAGGTAGCAAGGATCTGTTGAGGTTTGATTTAGAAGGCTTTGCAGGCTGTATCTCAGCGGTCCAGGAGAGTTTGAGTGAAATCTGAGATCATTGGTACTTGAGAACTGCTGCACACAGGTAAGACCTTTTCCATGAAGACTGGAGATGAACTGAGGTTCACTGGTTGCCATCGCGGGTAATCATCCAGCAAAGAGAGATTATCCCTCACCTCCTTATATCCAGCTAGTCATCTTTATTTAGAAATGTTCTCTCTGTGACAGGAAGCTCACTGACACCAGAAAAACACAGAAAGAGACCCTAACAAGAACTGGGACCAAACAGCAATCACAACATGCCCATGGATTTCTCTTTACCACAGACAGCTTCTCCAGTTCCTCCGAAGGAAGCCCAAGGTGTTCCAAGAGTGTTTGACTGTTAATGCTTTGCTTATAGATTATTTATTTGACCAGATGCGTATAATGTACCTCTTTGCAACATTTTTGATTTACCTACAGGATTAACAAAATAATACATCTTTTAATTGATTTTAATTAGACTGTACTTAATTATAACCAAATTTGTTTTTTTTTTGGATATAACTTGAATCACAACTATCACAAGTGCAGAACATTTATATGTATGGCTTGTTACTTTAAGAAAAATCAATCCCTTGTTTCTCAGCAACAACCAAGCAGACGTTCCAGAAAGATGATCTTCTTTTAAGTGAACACAAAACCAACATTTTCTGCATAGCAATTACCAGAAGCCACTTAAAACTGACCCTGCAACATGTCCCCTTGAGGCTATACTGATTTGAATAGAAGCATTAAATTAAAACCACCTGCAGCTGAAGCAAATAATGAATTACAGTATATATCTCAATTTTGTGAGATGGAAAAATATACCTTTAGGAAATGTATTATATAATGACTATGGGTCTCTCACGTAATGTGCAAGTATGAAAACAAGGAAGAAACTGTAATTAAACAAGTTCTTAACCCATAGCTGAAAAAACTACCTGTTCAATGTCCTAAAAACTGAAATGGGCTTTTGGGATATTGGGTAGATTAATATTGGGAGTGTTAAAGAGGTCATGTTTAAGAAGAAGGATTTATCCTGTGCTTTAAGGAAAACAGAGCTACTCAGACCATCAACTGTACGCAGAATGCTATATGGCTGTGTTAAGAAATGGGTTGTTTAATGTATCTCATGTACAAAATAGTTTTGCTGTCCTTTCTTTAAAGCATAAGGTCACATAGAGCTTCATCGCAGTGAGTCATGCGGTTTCTGACTGCTAATTACAAGCTATACTATATGTCTGCCAGAATTGTTTGTGCCTTGCTTTTAAAAATATAAATTTTAGAGTCGGGTTACTGTAAAATTTAACAGAATTTCTTCTCAGTACATTTGATGTTGTCTTGTTTCTTAATTCATACAACATCTGGTTATGTCATTGCAGTACTTTGCAATACATTTTGCATTAGACTGAAGCATTTTGCAATTTCAAGTGCCGTTAGTACTGTCTTTAGTATTTTCCAAGTCAAATAGTTTATAAATTGGCCCGTTGCATGGACGATTTGTAAATAGATACATTATTCACACTGGCAGTGAACACATCGTCTTACATAGTACATTATTTATACTGCCACATTCCATTAATTAGAATGTGGCAGTATAAAAGTCCAACACATTCAACATGTATTACAAAATCTTAAAAATAAAAAAACTTTGATTTGGTGAAAGTTTTGTAATCTGCTGCATAAAGTTATGCAAGGTGGTCAAGAATAACCCTGTCTGCGATACTGTCTATGCTTCTGTTAATCATTTTAATAAAGCAAAACCCTGAATCGATCATAAATGACACAAGATTAAGTAAAATGTTGAGAATTTGTAGTTTTTTTCAGAAATCAGTTTCTCTAAACACTTCATAATTCATTATTATTCCAACCTTGGTGCCTTTAAAGTGGTTGCAACTGCTTAATGGTTAAGATTTGTGATTTATGTATGACTTAGTTTTAATTCTCTCTAAAATGAGCATTTTTTTTTTTTTTTACCAAGGCACACTTTAGTGTACATCTTGCTAAAATGTCCTTAAATATGGGTCCACAGTCTTTTATTACTTGCAGAAGTTCAAAGGAAATCTTAGTACTGAACTGAGTGTAATTTTCTATTGCTGAGGGTGAAGCTTTTATGCATCCTTAAACGAGAGCTCATTGCCTGGCTCTTTATGCCCCTTCCTGGAGTATTATTTTTTTTTCTATCTACTCTGTAGCGGCGCCCTCAATATGTAGGTCATCTTGACCTTTTTTATTCTCCTTCAGAAACGGTCTTTCAAATCTTTCAGGTCTGTTTATCTATGAATTTCCTCCTAAGCTGCAGAAGGCAAATTGAGATTACCGGTAAGTTAAAGAAGAATCATTTTATTTCAGCTACTGATTGTTTGCTTTTAAAGTTGTAAATCGGTGTATAAGGTTTGACGAATGTTGTCTCTGTTTTCTACCTCACATACAGTCCTTAAGGGGAAGAAGAAAAATTTGGATCATTAGTTCCAGCCATTATTTTTGTAAAGAAAATCTGAGGATAATCAGACAGATATGGCAGCTGGTCTTTTTAGCCTTGAGTTGAAGCGACCGGCTTCATGTCAGGCTCACACATGCATGGTCACATGAGTTCAGCTGCTTATGATTGCACCCAAAATAAAACGTCTGTCCATATGTCTGATGCAAGTATAAACTTTAAACTTTAGTACAACTTTCATCTTCATTTGACGATAGCTTGTTAACTATCTAGTCTTTTGTAATGTGGTTCTTCTGGATCCATTAGTCTGAAAGGCCCAGGACATTTACTTAATCAGCCTAGGAAAAAACTGCACTATACCTTCAGTCCAGTGGGAAGCTGTTCAGAAGAACTCCCTTTAAATTGCACTGATCTTTTTTAAGTTTTTGTTGTTTCCACTAATAAATAATAGTTTCTTACCAGCTTCAATGTTATGCAGTTGATTAATTAAGTCACTCTGCATCCATATGAAGGAAATGTTTACAAAATTATTTTAACTTAATGTTTTATCGATCTGCATACGGATAGAGTTGTGGGGTTTGCAAATGCAAGAATAATTGCATTGACTACTAAATACTGTTGGCACACTTATTTTTCTTTTCTTATAAAAACAACAAGGTACATTTTGTATCAAATCTTCAGCTTAAACAAAAAAAAGTATTTTTTAGTTGAAATTGTAATTATTAGAGTTAAAACCTGGGTAAAAGGAAAAGAGCATTCAGCCAGTTGGTTAACTAGTGAATCATCTGATCTGTCTGTTAGACTACACCACTTTGAAAACTAAGATCATATTTGAAAGTAGGCTCACAATCTTGATAATCTTCCTACATGTGAAGTTTTGAGGTGTACTTTCTCTCTTAAAACATTTTAAAACTTTTTTTTTTTTTCAAGAAATTCACAGCAAATGAATGAACGGCCAAACTTACAGTAGCTGTGAAACACCACTCCCTACTCCTGGCTGAAGCAGCAGCCAGTACAGAGCTCTGCAACTCTGCAAACTCTGAAAGCAGGCATCAATAAGTATGCAAATACTTGATAAACTGACCACACAGATGAGATTCTGAGGTCTATTTTCTCAATTAAAAGTAACCTATTTTTGTGACAAATTAAATGTGTGGAAAAAAACATTTGTACTTTGACTTTCTTCAATTACGGCCTCTGCTGGTGGCACAAAGCAACACAGCATACAGTAGTAGTTATTTAACAGATTTCACCCCGTACTACTCATGCTGCTTGTGATCTCTGTGTTGCAGGCGCATGCAGTGTGGCCATGCTGAGACAGCAGCCACCGCGGGGTTAGGATGTCTGACAAGAAAAAGAGTGAAAGCGAGCTCGGCTTCATCAGTGATGACGGCGAGGATTATGAAAGTGATGAAGAAGGAATGCACGGTGAGTCAACATGATGGGTTAGATTTTTCTCCTCTGGTCTTACAACTGTTAATAGGTTAAACTGAAAAAAAAAATAAAGGTTTAAAGAAATAGTAAATGTTGCAAATATTAGACTGCAACATTTAAAGTTTCATAGATTACCACAATAAGTGTTTCCTCAAGGATTTCTATCTTGGAAGATGTTTACAATAGAATGTTGCTAAACTAAAACAATTGAAAATGTTCCCTTTACTTCATTTTATGTATTTAAACGCCTCTATGCATTTATGTAATTATAGAAATAAAAAATTTTGCAGCTTATAAAGTTTAGTAACTCATAAAAATCAAAGCCAGTATTTACCAACAAAAAAGTCATAGATACATGGTATCTATCTGTGGTTTAGTGGCATTAATGACCCACACTTTTTTTTTTTTTTTTTTACAATTGTTTGAGGTTTGAGTCCTGGCCTCTCAACCTTTGCCCCAAGGCTTCCCCCCTTCTCTCTCAACCCTGTTTCCTGTCGGATTGTGATTGATTTGCGTTCATTCCGATTCATTTTTGCTTATGCCTTTTTTTTATTTCTTAAATTTAAATATATCATACAGAAAGCCCATATTCTGATCTTCAGCTACCGCAGTATACATGGTAGATTCAATTATACTACTTATACCTCAGCGGTAGAATCAAGGTGTTAATTTATTGTATCTCTTATACTATATCTGTTGGTTGTGCTGTTCTTTTTACATCTCTTTACAGGTGATGAAGCACACTGCAGATCATTATCTCCCTTTTATCACCTCTTTCTTTCATCTTTTCTCCTTTTTTTCTGTTTTTCCTTACTGTTCTACTTACATTGCAGTGTCTGTATAATCTGCAATACTCCCTGCATGAATTATAATAAAGATTTATATGCATAAATCAAGCGGAACACTATGGCGATAGCCGTACTGCTCCACTTGTGAATGCAAAATCTGTTGGGCTCTTTTTGGCATTAGGACAATTATTCTTATCGCCACATTGCCAAAAAAATGTAAATATTTCTTACCTTGATGCTTTTTCCCTGTTATGGTTTGGAAAGAATGTGATGCTTCTTTATTCCTTGATGCTCTGCTTGTGGACTCTTGAAAAAGATTCACTAGAACATCTGCTGCTGTAGATCGAATTGGTCTTGGACAATGCCAGCTGTCTCTTTGCTTTTGTAGTTGATACTGGAATTTTTCTGACAGAAGATGTGGGCAGAAACTTGTAGACATCAGGAGCTGGCTTTATTGTAACCAGACAGGCAGCAAATATAATCTTGTGTCAGTGCATGCATGGCACTGTACTAAAACAAGAGGCATTGCAGGACAGTTGGTCTCTATGAAGTAGCTGTGTTAATGCCACCAGATGCAGCATAGGGTTTTTTATGTCTGATCATTGTGCAGGAATTCTATTCAGGCTGAAAAATGACTGAAAGCACACAGGGAATCTTAGTGTTTATTACCTTATTTTATCCGGATTGTAATTTTTTTATAGTCACAAACTAAACTATTACAATGTCCCTTTAACTTTGAGCACAATCCTGTCAGTGAATTGGCTGTGGTCTTAAAAGGGCAGCGGTCTTGTTGGTTTGGGAGGCACAGACCTCTTGAATAATGCACTACCAGCTAAGCAACAAAGTAAACACCCACCCCCAAAACATTAGGTTTGGGTTATATTTATTCAAAAGTGTGGTTTAAAATATATTGTATTCAGAAGCCTCTCTTTTTTTAATTAAAAGACCAGATTCCAGCAGATGTAGCCACAACCAGTGTGTCCTTCCCCAGCAGACTGTGAGGGTTTGTCCTCACCTGTAAGAAAGCTAAACTCTCATGTTGCATAACCACATGAGTCATCTCCACTATTAAGTAAATTATATATATGTGCATTTGCATGTATGTGTTGAGTCTAAAGCTTTTTGTCTTAGAAAAAGGATAAGATTTAAATTTTGAGTTGTTAATATAAATGTAAGTCATTAGATAACGAGAAGGAAGTCTGATTTTTTTAAAGGCTTTATTCTTGTTAGGATCAGCAGATGGACCTCATAGTACATTATGAACATCTTCAGTTTATACAGTAAACTCACTTTTTTTATTGTACTTTCCAGAAGAACGGCCAGCACAGGCAGTCAATTAAAGAGGCAGTAAACTGCATTAACATCTGTCTTTGAATTTCTTTATAACAATTCGATTCATTTTTAAAACCAATTTTTAACTTATTTTTCTCATTAAACATGTTCATAATGTTGGTTAACAGGAGGTTTGCTCACAACAGGGCTTTGATTGAAAAGAAAAAAAGTGCCAGTACTTCCCTTGATAATCTTTTCCATCTCCTGGTTGTATGTTTTCTCACGGCTGTTGTTAGGGATAGCTTTCTTTTATATTTTCAAGCCACAATGAGAGATATTACAGAGGTATTTAAAAAAAACAAAAAAACAATATGAACACTGGGCCTCATGAAATAACGGTTTGTATGTACAATTCGTTTTTAGATTGTTCATACAAGTGATTTAGGAGAAAATGTCGCATTCATCATTTTGTTCCTATTTCTAATTTTCTCTTCATTTTCTAGATTTCATCTAGGAGTCTTGCTCAATTAGTCAGCTGTTTGTCAAATCCAGTTTTTAACCAAATTAAAATGTTTGTTGTACTTAGAAGTGTTGACTATTTTTAGCCTGCATAATTAAATGTTATGTTAATCCACAATTCTAAATAATTATTTTATCAGTGTATAATGTTGAAATGTTGGTCACTACGCCTGCAGCTTGCATGTTGTTTAAAACAACCTTGTTAACGCTAAGTGAAGTTACTCAAAATAGAGGAAGCATACAGAAATTTTACTTAAGTAAAAGTAGTGATACACTAAATTATTTTTATTGAAGTAAAGATAAAAAACATAAGTTGCTGTAAAACTCTCCTAAAAGTTAATTTTATTACTGAAGTAAATGTAAATGTGACCCACGTCTGCTTATATGAGACCTAATATGGCATTATCAAGACAGTTATTGTATACATTTCAATTGACTTATGCTACGTTCAGACTGCACGCTGCACAAGCAGCACATGCAGCTGATTTACATGGAAATTCAATGGTTGACACACATCAAAAGTTCCTGCAGCGCGTTTGGAGCAGCAGGAGTAACGCATCTTGACGCATTTGAGCAGCTGAAGCAGCAACTCTTCAGCTTCTAAGCTTCTGAGGCGCTGGAGATGTTTTAGAAGCAGCAGCTGCTGGAGTAGGATTAACTTTTGCTGCTCGACGCGCCACATCGACCAATTAGAGAAGCTGATGTGGGAGCTGGCAGGGAGACAGACACAGCACTGCTGATGCAGATCAATATGATTACTCCCCTGAAACAGTTTATTAAAGCCTAAATTAACTTGAAATGTTGAAACCTGCCAGCATAATGTGTTCTCTTTTATTATTCTGGTGCCTGTAGTTTGAAATGCATACATGAAAAATGCCTTCCAGCACAGTAATGGTAGCGTAAAACCCACAAGAGACGACCGGGACAGAGGCTGTCATTGAAGGGGATTTACAGGAACAGAGCACCGCCGGTGTACGGGGGTCTAAGCGGCTCCGACAGCAAAATAATATTTGAAGGCAGGGTCGTAATCTTGATGAACTGACTCCACAGATTAAGTTTTCAGGTGGACTTTTTATTAAAACTTGTTTTTATCCACTTATAACAGCAAATATAGGAAAGCCGCTCTCTGCCATTGCACACAGGAGCAGCAGAAGACGCATCTGAACACACTTTACTGGACGTGCTTCAGGAGCGTTAAAGATGCACTTTAGGAGCATCAGACCTTAAAGTGTACAAGCATAAAAAATGAAGCAACAGAAGCTTTTTTGCTGCTTCCAGCACTTGAGGCCTGAACATAGCATAACTCACAGGCAGACTCCATCCCATTTTAGAGAATCAGTTACAATCATTTGCTGACGTTAAGAACGTCTGTTGAATCTGATGTGGCGTGTACAAATGTTGCATGAGGCCAACTGTTTAGGTGTTTATTGGTAGTTGTTTTGCTTATGATGTGATAGCAGACACATGATGAACACAAGTCAGTGTATTGATAGTGAGGCCTCTATGTCACTATTGGTATTACATTTTCCAAGATAAATTTGTAATACAATTTTTCCCCATCACCACCTAATTGTATAATAGTAGCTCTTCACAGATTTTCTTTTCTTCCATTTTGGATATCTGAGTAATAAAATGTTTTGTTTATTTGCCAGTTTAAGAGCTGTTGGTTTCTTTTAGAGCTGCTTTACACCACTGGCCAACAGCTCACAGCAAACATTGGGGTAAACCCCATTTAGTCCTGGTGTTTACATAGCTGACTCAGACCTTATAATGACCATTCATGTTTGACATTAAAATCCATTCTGAGCGACCATGTCACAACCATCGTGCTTAAAATAAATACACACACAGCCTTGTCATTTAATGAGCTGGCAGCTGAGTAACTACCAGGACAGAAGCAGGTCTGCTGATGTTTCAACCACAGCTGCACTGATCCATTTTCTCCCAATCCAATCCGATACCTGTGCTGAGTATCAGCCCATATCCGATATGATGCGATTTAACAGTCAAATTAATTAACCATATATTATGTAATCCAGCAAATTAGTCGATATCAGAGCCGATATCCGATACAGGTATCGGATCTGTTCATCTTTAGTATCAATTTACTGAAATAATGTTTTTGTCCCATTTATAAAGTGTTGCCTGTAAAAAATGGTCAGTTTATTGACCGTTTCATCCACTATGTTTATTTAATGAACACAGCTTAATGCAAAATAGACAT